TATATATATATATACATATATAAATGACTTATACTATAATTTATAAACTGTGATGTTATTTTCAACTAATTATGCCACAACCAAAATGGAAATCTAATGATCGGTTCATTACTTTGAATCTAAACTATGATCTAGATGGATTATATGATGTCTTACATAGACTGTGTCTATCTATGATAATAGGAAACATAAGGGTTAATAGTGTTGACTCACACCTGAGGAAGAGGTGCGTCAGTCTGACAGTTTTGCTTTCTGTTCGAGCATGCGTAACACGCACAGGACACGCGCTTTCTCTCAGTCTTGCACATGTTTGACGTCTGACAATCAGTTGGTCCGGTCTATATCATATAAGAGGTATGCATGTATGTATGTGAGTGTTTAAGAAGTATAGAGTGTGATCTAGCAGCTGGCTGTCTTTTTAAAAAAATTCCCTCTGGGATCCATAAAGTTTCCCTAAAGATCTTTAGAAGCCAAGCTAACGGTCCTGCGGGTCTGGATTATCGCTTAGAGGGTCTTGAGGTCTTGAGGTCTTCTTCTAATCCTTCTTAAGATGAGCTACTGTGTGTGCTAAAAGGATGCATCATGATTTTTCAGAATGATTAGGCCTACAGGATATTTTGTGGCTTTAAATCTGCAAGATAGTCGTGTAGAGAAAAAGCATTCATAATGGCCAACACTTAGGTCCAAGGGTACAAAGGCAAAAACAATCATCAAGACTAGACTTATACAGTGTTTTTTGTTTTTTTCTCACTCTCGTGCTGCAGAGACTGAAACAAGAGTGATCCCCTGCAGTCACCATTCCAGCCGTGGTTGCCATAGCTGCACCAAATGACTGCAAGTCAGTCACACACATTCTTGCCCATCACGTACCCCACTGATCGTTGCCATAGCTGCGCTGGTTAGAAATTGTAAAAAAAAAAAACAACAACAACAAAAAAAAACCAAACAATAAAAGTAAAGGAATAAAGACCTCCCATTTTTCACAGGTGTGAGGTAGATGAGGGGAGCTTCAGGTAACCTTGATTGAGAGGAGACATGAGGTGTCAGAGGCTAGCGGTGAAAGATTCATCCCTATGGACTATTTCAGGATTTCCTCCACCTCTGGGTCCAAGAGCCACGTTGTGTATGGGGCTCCTCGGGGGAAGAGGAGGAGCCCTCCAGAGGAGACGAGCCAGAGCGCTCCTCTTCCTCTGGGAGAGAGAGGTAAGGCCCGGTCCCTGGGCTAGAGGCCGAGGTAGACGCATGTTGGTCCTGAGAGCCTGTGGCGGGCGCCAGCGCCTTGTGGGGACACTGAGCCACCATGTGCGTGATGCTCTGGCAGTAGTGGCATTTCTTTGGCTGGGGGGGCAGGCCACACTCCTTGGCATGGTGATCCAGACCTCCACAGTTATAACAGCTGCAGGGGACAGAGGAGAAAAGAACAGAAAGCATGAACAGGATCTTTGTTTTTAGCTTTTCCTTTTCTTTTTCTTAAAACAGAAAACAGATTTTGTAGTTTTGAATCTGCAAGCACTTTGCGGCTAAAATACAGTTAGATCCATAATTTGTTGGACAAAGACACAACTGTATAGGAGTTATAGCAGTTGATACAGCCTTCCATTTGCAAAGGTCCAAAGATAATTACAGAAACTAGAATAATTTTAAATAGAAGGACTGTTTTTGACAATCCTTTGCAGATGGCAGTCCTGAAGCCTAGAACTCAATGACATCACCAAAGGCTGTGTGTCTTCCCTTCAGATGCTCTGCTAGGTTTGTTCGTAGCTCTTTCTGCATTCACTTTTGCTTTCAGTAAGTGAAAAGCATGTTCAGTTAGGTTGAGATCAGGTTAGGTTGAGACTTGGCCACTGAAGAATACGCCATTTCTTAGCATAGGGAAAGTCTTGGTTTGCAGTATTCGATGGAGCGTTAACCATTTGCACTTTGAAGCGCTCTCCAATCAGTTTACCAACATTTGGCTAATTTTAAACAAAGAGTATAGCTGTGTACATGTCACAATTCATTCTGCTACTTCTATCAGTGGTCACATCATCAGTAAACACTAGTGGTTGGTAGCCGTACATGCTCATGCCATAATATTTCCTTCATGTCTGGCAAGGATCATGGTATGCTTCATATCATGAGCTGTTCTCTCCTTTCTCCATACGTTTCTCTTTCGATCATTATGACACGAGCTAATCTTGTTTTCAAGAATCTTTTTTTAGAGCTGTGCAGGCTCGTTAAGGTGTTTTCTTGTAATGTCTAATCTGGCCTCTGTAATTACCCTCATGAAGGCATCTCTTGATTGTAGACTTTGGCAGTGTTAGATGTTGTGAGGTTGTTTTCTTTCACTATGAAAGTAATTCTGTCGTTGTGCACATTAGTTGTCTCCTTTGGTTTTTCCGATCTTTTGATGTTGCTGAATTACCCGGTGCATTCATTTTTTTTTAGAATATTTGGGACTTATGATTTATTCTGGATTTTAAACCTAATATGTCGTCCCTCACTTGCACTGACATTTCTCTGTGCCTCACATTTAAAATCACAGTGAAAAATACAAATTCAACCCATGGAACTAACTTCAGATATGTCTGCTTTATTGGTCATGAAATGATGAAGCAACAGATCTGACCGGGACATTAAAATGCTTTATTTTTAAACAATTAATACAGTGTTATATATAATAATTGAAATAACAAATGGAAGTATTTTTAAAATACTGAAATTCTTAAGCAGTTAATGCAAACTTTTTTTGAACCCCTTGAATTAAAGCTGAAAATCGGCACACTTGATTGATTTAAAAAGGCAAAACTACAACAAATTATGGCCCTACTAATAACTATCATTTCTAACATGATAATTATAATAATAATAACAATAAGAAGAAGAAGAAGAATTTTTAAAAAAGAAGAATAAAGATTTTATTTCACTTTTGTCCATCATCGGCACTACGGAGTAGAAATGTCGGCTCCAACTAAAATTCCCCACTAGATGGGAGTGTTGTATATGATTTTGGTCTGGTGTGGCCACTGTGGCATGCCAAACTGCATTATATTATTAGCTCTGAAAAGAATACCAGCAATGAAATGGCAACAATAAAAGCATGAAGAGAAATTAGACCAAAATGTTAGCCCGTCATGATGCCATCAGTTCTCTTTGCGCTGCATTAAATAATAAATGTTTTTTGTCATATTTTCTTTTTTCTTTTTTTTAAGGCTTTATGTCACGTACAAGTCACCGTTCAGGTTTTTAATAATGTCCTGGTGTAAAAAGCTTAATATCTCTTGGGCAATGATGTCTAGAACAAATGATTCTGGATTCATCAGTCTGTGTTAAATTTCTACTGCAGCAGTGCAAAACTCAACCACTTATCATTATGAAATAACTGCTTACTGCACACATTTTAAGGTGCATCTGATTTGATTACCAATTAACAAAATAAGAATCGACAAGTAGACCCAACTGCAAATTGCTGCCAGTAAATAAGAAATTGAACCATGACGGCCTTTTCTACGGAACCAGATAAATTATCTTTACTTAACCTGTGTTCTTTGCATCCAATAAAATAACAACTGGCTGCTTGAATTAAATAAGAAAAATTTAATGCAATGTTTAATTGTTCTTTGTAAAGAAAAAGTATTATTTTTCTACAATAAATAAACCATAAAGAATATAATAGAGACTACAGATAAGACTGCTACCTCACTAAAAGCTGTGACATTAATTAAGAAAGACTTAAAGGTAGGTTTTAAGAGGTAATTAGTAAGTGTCCTCAAAACCTGGATTCATACAAGTACAGTGATCTGATAAATTAATTCGTGCAATTAAATAATTATATTTATATACTAATTATAGTTCCAATCCCGAGGTAGCATGAAAATCCATCAATTTATTGGAGAATTTAGGTTTTAAAGTTTAAAATATTCACTCATGTAATTCAGATTTCTTGTATGTCTCAGGTCATGCACTCGTTTAGTGTAATAAAAGCACAGTTTAATCTCAGCTAATTTGATTCAAATGTGTGCAACACAAAGAGAAAAACATTGATAGACTAAATTTCATATCAAACTGGGAAAAACCTGGATGAAGACAAAACAGCTCAAAATATTTGGATGTCCTTTAAGTTTAATATTGAAGAATGTTTTTATCACAGATTAAGACTAATGAGCTTTAAATGCTAATGGCAATTTTTTTTTTCAGGGAAATGGTTACAGATGAGTGCTTAATTAGTTTAAAGAAAATTCTGCAACAGCTGATGAACATTTCTCAACAGTTAATGTTAAACATTGACTTCTCTGCTAATTTCTGTTTGATAAAAACTCAGCGCTGTCATCACTAAAGTTTTTAGACACTATTTCCACAACCGATGAATTGTTTACTCAATTTTTAAACTGAACAGTTTTACAGAACGTGATCTGAGCAGCTCTAGAGAAAAGAAAGAAATGATCCGTTGCATAGCAGAATAACCCGCAGCGTAACCCACCAGTAGCTGCTCCCACTGGCCAGCATTCACAAAGACAGAAACACACATCTACCTGCCATCACTAAATCCAAAACCACCTTGCTACCACATTAGCAGAAGACAGACACTTGACCTAACACTGGATCAATTATCCAAAATAAGCTGAATTATTCAGCTGTGTAAACCAATCAGGGAGCCTTCTCTGTCAGATACAGTTTCTTCCCTTCTAACAAATGCTTTTCTTTACCACTATTAAGAAAAAAAAAAAAAAAACACGATAGTGCTGCATTGGAGCACTGAAGCAACAGTGATGCAGCAACATAAAGGGTGCCAGCGCTACACTTTCTCATGTAAATGTAGCCTTGAAATCATGTGATACCTTCCCACAACAGATACAGTACTTAGACTCTACCTGGCAGGATTTGCCGCACATCAAATGAGGGCACTTTCTTTCAGTAGGAGGACAGGAGGACTCTGCTTAGCGTTTTCAAGGCACTCCCTATGGCTCCCACTGCAGATTTCAGCAAAGCTCCCTTCAGGATTCAACTGAGGACAAAACAATTGATTTGGCTACCGCTGCATTGAGATGCATATAGGTCCAATCTACCCCCATGCTAATATAGTCTCTAATGTAAAAGCTGGCAAATTGATTTAAAATAGCGGCAATGGCAAGCGAAGTGCCCTATTCAATTCCTTATTATGGTGCACAATAACCATAGCAACAGGCATGTACCGAGGCGGATTGAATAGATTTAATCTATAATCTCAGCCCACTCAGAAGCCACTCACTGCGGGTAGCTGTACGTATAGAATATGTTTCCTATTGCTACAGCGTAGTCTTGCTTTCTCAAAGCTAGCCACAGGCACCTATACGCATTCACGTATTTCACATTTTCAGGAAAACCATGCATACGTGTGATTACATTCATGCAGACGCAAAACATACACATACATTTTTTTTTTTGTTTCAAAAATGAATAAAAACCTACCGGTCTCCCTTTGGTTTGCGTTTCTGCAATGGGACCTTCCCTTTGGGTCTCCTCTCACTGCCTGCACAGGGTCCCCCACCAGGTCCGGTCACCCGCAGGGACTCTAGGCCCTTAGAGGACTTCTTATAGGTGAACTCCACCTGCTCACCCTCCTTTAAGCTGCGGAAGCCCTCCATCACTAGTTTGCTCTGTTGGAAGAATAAAAAAGGGCAATTATCCCTTTAAAAGAGGCAGATGCTTATTGCCAAATGCAAGACACAAGAGTGTGTAGGTAGGATAACGCCCTGTGTGTTATAAGCGAGAGTATCCGACACGTTAGGGCTCATGTTTGTTGAAATTGCTTTAAATTTAATGTCAAAGCATTTGTTTCCCTTAGGTTAAAATATTATGATTGCAAGCCTATACAAAAATAAATCTTTAAAGGTTAATTTATAGGACGTTAGATTTTGTAAGAGCAAAACTGTTCCAGGAAAATGTAAATCTGATTCTTTTATAATAGTAAACCACGTCACTGAATAAGGTAGCTCGTTAAAGGCAACTGAAAGATCTCTATTATGTTAGCTTTAAAGGCTTTTTATACAGCAGTATCAGGGTGCGTTTTACCTTTGTTGGTTATATTGAATATTTTTTTAACCCCAGATGATTCATGGAAACTGACAAAGGCTATTACACTTTAATAGCCTTCAGTATGCAGCTAGACATAAAGACAGCCCCCTTCTTAGGCAGAAAATGCAATCTTTCAGTGAAAATGGATTAGTTCCTCTTTCTGTCTGCATAAGATAAAGCATTAATGTTACGCAAGCCCACACCCATTAGGTTAAATCTACACATTGAGCAGTTGCCAGATATATTATTACGTCTGCACACAAAAAGTTCCCCAATCAACTCCTTTTATTTCCACATAGCTCAAGAATCAACATTTACTTTATTAACACGGGCAAGTCCATGAGGTGGGCTTTTACACACTGCCACATGCAGCGAACACAACAAGTATTAGCAGACAATGAACATCGAGAGGCAAATACATTACTTCAAACATGGTGGATTGACTATATGTGGTTTGTACCAACTGCCGTGAAGGTTGCTCCACAGAGCGACTTATCTCACATGATATGTCCTTGGTTTACTCTCTTTATCTACTTTTCGCAGAGACACCACTTCCTTTTCTGCAGGCTTAAAAGACAAAAATGTTACACCTATACAATCTTTTTTTTTTTTAAAGCATCCACCATCCATCTTATCTACATGATCGGAAATATTGATTTAGTTACTACATAACCACTGGACAATGATTTATGTCTTGTTGATCGCACAGCGCGGACGGCTGATAGGCACAGAATCCGTGACCTTCATGAATCGCAGCAAGCCCTGCGGCTCTTATAGGTAAACACACGCCCACATGGGCATGCAGTGTGCAGAGCAAACCTACTACCTACTATACATCAAGACCTATAAATAACACACAGGCTATCTGTAAAAGCAGTGCATGCTGTAGAGTCAGATGTGTAGGAGACAAAGGAAGAGAAAGGCACAAATGATCAGATGATATAGATGTGAAACTATAGAAGAAGGAGAGAAATTGTGCACAGCAGCATTTTTCTGCAGCGACTGAGGTTACAGGAAGCTGAAGGCGCTCTATAGGTGGTTTGTAGATAGAGATGAAAACCTAAGAGAGAGGAAAGACGTACAGAGGATGTGGGAATTAATTACAAACTAAGAATAGTGTTTGAACTCACTGCACTCGGATAATTGTCCATGTGAAAACCACTGTACAATAAATGACCACTGGGATACCACGTGGATTAAATGGAAGTGAAACGAAATACATTTAATATGTCTCTGTTTCCTTCAGGAAAACAAGTATGAAAAAAAGGAAAACATTTAACCTTGTTTCACACAGCGGAAAAAACTTCAAAACCTACCGCAAACACAAAGAATATCTCAATGTAAGAATATGCAATCAAATACATTTTCTTGGAATCTGTTAGGTCGCCTTTAAAAATTCAGGTAACACAAACTGTCGTTATTACAACACCCAGTTATTCAAAAAAAAATTTAAAAATGCTTAATAAAATGTATTCTAAAGGCACTCACATATCACAGCACTCGGTAAATGAGGGTCACGCCAAGACTTTCTTAGGATTAAAGAAAAACTTTCAAATAGATAAGAAAAAATAAAACATCCACTCTACATTAAATAAATCAGTTTATGTTCATTTCTTTCTGTTTTTAAAGTAATTTTTATGCATTTTTAAAAAATTATATATATATATCTATATATATATATAATTTAGACAATTTAAGTAAGTTGCATTTTTTTTATATTTTCCCTTTTCTTATCTTTACCTCCCTTTACTTGAACTTTATTCCTTAAAAGAATGATATCAAAGACAAACTTTGACATCATGAAAAAAAACTAACTTCAGTTTCAAATAATAAAGGTTATTAGTTGTTGTTTTGTTTTTGTTTTTAGGGTTTTTTTAGAATTGGTATTTTTACAACTTATAGTTCAGTACAAAAAAAGTTTTAGAAAGCCATCAAGTTTCTTAAACTTGAACAATGCTGATATATAATTATGTTATTTCCCTGCGTTTGAATCTTTTTTTTCATTAGAGATTTTTGGATTTTGATTTTTTTCATATATATTAAACACAAATTAGTACATATGAAACATAAACTTTTACCAAAAAGCTATTAATCTGGATTCCAAAGGCCTCTCTCACAATGAGTAATAATACACAATTTTTTTCTTCACTTTTTTTATATAATAAAACAATAAATAGGTTTTCAGTTTAGTCCTCAGAAAATATAGATATATACACGGAAGAGTTGTGACTTCATATTTAACCTTTTTTAAACAATTCTTTCTTTTTGTCCCACATTTGAACATTTCAACAATTTATTCAAAAGAGAAAATCGCCTTTTTTAGCATTAATAGCAACATGTCCAAAATTCACTCATTCATTCTTCCGCTGATGTCCTGCTTGTTTCCCCCACTGCAGTAAGTGAGACTTACAGCCAAGGCCACTCTGCTTCTAGTCGATTTGTGATGGAAGACTCATCCATTTTGGGCATTCAGCTATTGGATTTGGCTTTGAGGAATAGATGAGAATCAGGGAATGGAAATGAGCAAGAGGAAAGATTATGCACCACAGATGCAAAAAAGGGAATAACACAGAAGGGACGGTGAGGAGAGTCACAAACTAAGCAAGCAGCATCACGATCAATCTCAGAACATTATGTTACAAAATAATAATAGTAATAATGTTAAGATTCCATATTCATTAACCTATTCTTTTATCAAAGTTCTCTGCTCATACCAGCAAAATAATCAACCAAATGAGAAGCTACAGCCGAGCTATATCCTGGTCATTCAAATGGAAACACCAATTGATTTTATAATTACCATCATTAGACCATCTGAATGGCTAAAAGGCATTTGTTCAGCAGATATCAGTAAAAAGACAACAAAAGGTTGTGCCCATCCCCCATGAAACACAATATATTCAGAATAATGATAAATAAACATCAGCTGGTCTCTAGACTATGGCACACGAGCCCTTCCTCTTCCTCTCCTGTCTTCAGTCCAGAAGCAGCTTGTCTCTCCAGGTCAAAGTTGAGTGGTTTGTCTCAGCACTCTACCCCCCCCCCCTCTCCAACTCACTCAATTCCCACAATGCACCAGCGAGGAAACCACACATCCCCTTTTGTTCTGTAGAAATGCAGGAAAACACACATAGACACACACACACTAAAATCTCCTCCATATAGTTTATGGCATCATGTTTGTGTCAGATACGTTCTGACGCGTTCACTCGCAACAGCTCAGTCTCTGCAATTACGTAATAAACTGCAGCATATGGATCTGTATATACATGTGTGCCTCCGAGCTGCTCTATGCATGTGTAAGCGTGTGTGTGTGTGCGAAAACTTCGCAAATCAGAACCTGCAACCTGAGTCCCCTCCTCTCAAGTGACCTGGCGGGTGTCCTGACCCGTTTCAGTTTACGCAAAGAGGTCAGGAGAGGGCACGGCTAAGGTGAGGGAATGAAAGAATGCCAAGCAGAACGAAAAAGAGAGAAGGAGAGCAAGAGACTCTAACACAAAATGGGGGAGTGGCTTAGCATAGGGAGGCGGATATGGGTGGGAATCTGGAGGAAGAGGAGGACAAGGGTGGGGGGTGGGGGTTCATGGAACTACCTCCACCGCATTCTGTTCAGCTCCAATGGAGGAGCAACTCCTCATCAGTGGCTGGAATTGGGGGAGGCCAGGAACAAAACCACCATTTGATCAGGAACCCCACAGGTCAGCAGGAGAAATCCTGAGGTCAGTGGTATAACCATCGTAGCACCACCCCCAGCCTGCTGGGAAGACCACACCACCACTCTGTGCTTAAACTTAAGGGTCACCAGCAGCCAGCACCTTGCCTTAAACGGAAGAAACCTATCCAACAAAAAGATCGAAAGATACTCTAAAAGGGCTTGATTATGCTTGCAAGCTTCCTTATGTGTAATAAATATCTTTAGGTCTTCATGCATGTTACCGTACATATATATACCGGTATATATGTGTGCGTGTGTGTGTGTGTGTGTGTGTGTGTAGGAAAGAGCCAGAGATCAATATCGACACTGACATCCTAGATAGAAATAGCCCTCCTTTTCATCAGCCGGCCCTCGTCATCACCAGACCCAGCAATCAATACAGGAAGCTGTAATGTGAGGGGATGGGGAAGCAAGAGAGAGGAGAGCCACCATCCTCCACCAGCCTCTCTCCGAGGCGACCACCAGCTATGGAATGGCTAATTATGGGATGCCTTAAATCAGAGGTGGAGAAGGGTATTGTGCTCGTTTCTAAGAGGAACGGGAATGTGCAGAGGTGAGTGAGTAGAGGGAGATGGTGGTCAACATGTGGCTTGGTGTCACTGAGTAGCTTTTAATACACAGGAAATGCTAAGTGGATAAAGCTGGGCTAGATCAGCTCAGATGGACATAACCCAACAGGATATATATAAACCAAAGAAGAAAGGGAGAGGAAACACACACACACACACAAACATGCCAGTGAAAACCACCAACAGAGCCGCTCTTATGTCGGTGACACCGCAGCCCTCCTCAACACATTGTCATTAGTGGCTCTGACCTTTGAACCTCGCCCAGCCCCCATCAAACAGTTAAAAGCCTTCATGTTTC